AAAAAAATTGTACCATATCGATTCCCAGTGCCTTAACCAAATAAAAATAAATCCTTGAACAAACCTTAAGACTAAAAAGCAAAATAAGAAAACTAAAGGACTCGAACTGTCAAAGAACTAAGCTTGAAGGGCTAATGACTAAGACACGCACAACACATTTCTGTACCCCAAAATTAAAAAAATTTTATTTGGAAGATTGAAAAAAAAAAAGAAAAAAGCGCAGTGTTAGTTAGATTTCATTTTCATAAGAGAGTCAAATGTTTAAATAAATTAAAGTTCCCAAACATACGAATTTGGTTCATTCAATTTGCTCCCTTGTTGCTCGTTGGCTTTCAACTCCACAAAAAAAGTCAAGCCCCAAAATCATAGCCGCTGACTCCTGTTAAAAAAGATCGCAAGTTTCTGACCTTTTGACGATTTTAAACTACAGTAACAGTACTACCATATAATATTTCATCACCCTTGAAAAAATAAATAATGAGTCACATCAAACCAAGCGTTGCCTTCTTCGATTAAACTTTAAATTTCTATTGTTGTTTTTCTTTTTCTTTTTCTTTTTTAATGGAAAGCATATTCTTACATTTTAAAATTCTTTTTTTTATTTTTATTTTAAGGGCATAATCCTTAATCCATATATTTAGTATGGTACATTTAAAAATATATATATATTTTTTGGTGTAAGCTGAAAGACTTCAATTTTACAAATAAACAACAAAATAACACTTATTTATTAAAAAATTCCTAAACTTAAGGTTTTATTGTTAATTTATATACAAGGCGGGGTGATTGTCCCATGGTTGTAAAGATGTGATGAGAATATATTTATGAGCACCAATGAACTTAATATACTCATATTTTAAATTTAAAATGTGACATGAAAATAAAAAGATATGGTTAAGATCACTTAATAAATTGTTGGGATCATATAATTTTTTTTTTATAATTAGTCAGTTATAATATTTAAAAATATTAATATATAATATAGTTTTAATTTATTATATAATAAATATTAATTATTTTTTTATTTATCGACTAATAATTATAATTTTTAATTATTTTTAACAATTAAATTAAATAAATTAATAATTTTTAAAATAAAATTTAAAAATTTATAGAATCTTAATAATTTATTGGGTGAATATATCTATTCTAAAAATAATTTATAGTGATTTTTAAAACTTTTGAAACCGACAGATTTCAGTGTTGGGTTTGATTGATACTCTTAGAGAGTCAGGGTGTGAACTCTCATGAATGGCCCCTGAAATATCCCCCACCATATCAAGGAAAGAGTTTCTTTAGATTGAGAAACACATGGACAAGCTAGCTGTGAGCAAAATAAGGTAGTAATGATGCAATTGAAATTCTCTATATATTATATATATATTTTTGTGTGTATTTCATTACGAATGAGACTTCATTCGAAGACCCCACAATTAATGTCAGCTAGTACCACATGGAAGTCCTTCACTACTCGTGTGACTTTGTTCCCCCTTAATTCTCTTTCCTCTTTTCCGGAGAGTGTTTCAATTTTGTCACCTTGTACACCACAACCTTACACCACCGTGACATCATGGAATTTACATGATAAATTGGAAATTAGAAATTTTCCTTGGGAAGCTTGTGCATAATAATCATAGCCTTAAAGGGGAACAATTGGCTTCAACTAACCAATTCCAACTCTAACGATTGGATTGGTTGGTGAGGTATAATCATCAGCTCAGTGATCAAAGGTCCCTTTTAATTAGATTGGTTATTAATTTTTTTAAAAAAAAAACGTGTTTCTTAAATTACAATGTATAAAAAAAATATAGTTAAATTTATGAATTTATTAAAATATTTTTAATAAAATTTTTTGTTTGTTATTTTATTAATAATATTTTAATAGATATTAATTAATATATATTTTAATTCAACACATTACATAATATATTTATTAAAAAATTAGTTTTTAAAAATTAAAAGTAAAAAAAACTTAAAGATACAGTATGCATATAAAACGTAAAAATCAACTGAATTGATTATATTTATATTACATTTTTAATAACTGATCTGGATGAATGTTAAAAAATATGTCAGACCAAATGTATACTAATTATTTTCTTATTTTAATAATTTCAATATCCAAATTACACTTTCTCATTAATCATGTGGTCTAATAATAGGATTACCTATACTTTAATTCTTAATCTCTACATATTAAAAAATATATACTTTTATTGTGCAGTTTAACCTAAAAAAACATTAATCTCTATTAAAATTTGGATCTTATAAAATTTTTAATCTTAATAACATAAAATAACCAAACTTTAATTATATCGGAAATGGTCGAATTAAGAGTTGACAAACAAGTTTCATGCTCAATCATAAGGTGCAGATTCTTTATACCATATATATTTGTATTAGAATTGCACATTCAACAATATATATTATGACCTGAATCTAATACGTGAAGATACAGAGACATTATATTGCTATTCAAAAAGAAAAAAATTCAAGGATGCTTTAATCTTGTTCTTGATTACACCCTCTATTCCAAAATAATTATTGTTTGTTGATTTTGAATTTGTCTTAAATTATTTTTTTATTTTTTTATTTTTTTTAAATAGACAAATATTTTTTTTCCTTATTTAATCTCATCAATATCCATTTATTTTGATTAATTATCCTATTACAAAAATTATGTCTTTATTTTTTTATTTTTTTCTTAAGAGTAATATAAGTAAATATATAAATTATTGCTAAATTTTTAACTTGGGAAATGGTAAAAAAAAAACACAGCTATTTTGAGAGAGATTGAGTAATAATTAAATATAATTGGTTTGTTGAAGAATTGTGTGAGAATGCAAATAAGTGTGGCTAGGGAAACGTTGAAGACACAGCACCAAAATTGTTGAGGGTATATATGAAATCAGCCTAGCTAGTTAATTAGGACATGTTAATGGGTAACATGAATTAATTAAGTACTGGATGACTTTAACATGATACATGTTGCTGCCTCCAACAAAACGAGGGCGCAATTTACGCTTAATTGATTGAATATTTCCTATTGCATTTACTATTTCTATTTAAAAATTGAATATTGACAAAGTCATTTCTAAGCGCCTTAATTTGCCAATTTTTCATGAACATATAAATCCCATGCAGTTAACTTAAAAATTTTAATTAGAGTCAAGATTAAAAATTCAAATACCTGCAATACCAAATAGTTAAGTTTCTAACATACTGAAAAAATATATATAAATCACATCTTTGTATTAAAGAATTTGCCAACTAATTTTTTCCATTAGACCATTTAGTCTATTTTGTGAAATATTTTCTACGATTACATATCTAGGTTAGCAAAAAGCTTTATTTTAACCAAATATATAATAATAAGAATAATAATAATAAAGGTACACATAAGAGAGTTAAATACTAAATCACTAAATCAAAATTATATTCATGATGTGCTTTCAAGAGCACCTTAATCAAAATAACTTAAGACAATAAGATAATGCTTTTTCTTTTTTTTTTTATAAAAAGTTATCAATGTACTTAAACTGTTTTTTAATCTCCAACAATCAACCCGAGGTCAAAAAAAATCTAAACAATCAACCCCTAAATTTCCATTAATTCAGGATGTTTTAATCTGTCTTCAAGAAGCAAATGCCAAAAACTTAATTAGTTCATTTTCAAGGTAAAAGTTACTTTATCATTGACAAGAACATATACTAAACTAATTTTAACCAAAACACAAAAAGAATACAAGTGGAGTAATTAAATTGTATTTGTCTAATCTCTACTCTTAGGAAAAGATTAACGGCACATGAGTCATACTTTTTTTCATTAATTATAAAAAAAAAAGTTTAAATTTTATGAATTGCCTAATAAAAATTATCTCCATATCATTAATATTAAAAATAAAGTTAATTTTTATGCTTATATATATCACAAAAATAATATAATTACAGTACCATATGATATGTTGTTATTATATAATTAGTTTTTTTACTTAAAATTTTATTTTTAATTATATATATACTCATTTAAGAACACATAAAATTATATATTTATAATTTTATGTGTCACTATAATAATAAAAAAATATTATTAGTGTACCATTAACCTTTGTTCTTAAGATGCAGATTAAAAAAATTTAATTAAATTGATCAATATCAAATTAGGAGTTTAATTAGTAGGAACAATTAATTATGAAGAAGGCAACGTGTAAACACAATTGAAGTGCAAATCATTAGAGGAGAAGAAATTTGTTTAGGAAATAAATAAAGGTCTCTTTCGGGGCTCTCTGACTCATGGACGAAGGGGGGAGTGGGGTGGTGGGGTGTGGGGTCCAGATGTCGTTGCACGCGCGCATGCCGCGTGGACCCCAGTCGTTGACTTCTGACACAAAAGTCATACAATACATACACCTCTCTGAGTCGTGACGGCATTGGTTTTTGTGCAACAGCCGTCTTCCCCCTGGTCTTCTCCTCCTCCTCCTCCTCCTCCTGCCGCCTCTCTACCTACCCAACTAAAAGTCAAACTCTGTAGTAAAATTATCTTAAAATTATTTTAAATTCTATTTTCTCTCTTTTTTTTTTCCTTTCTCGTTTAAGTTTCCTTTTTTAATGTTGTGTGAAAACAAAAAAATTGTTTTGTGAAAGGCATGGACAAAAAAAAAAAAAAAAGCCTTAATTTGTTTCAACTTTCAGCTTCAAGAACGGTGGACAGTGAACACATTTCGGTTATTACCGTCTTTGCCTTAAATTTGAGATTTTAGTTTGGATAATTTGGATATATAAACAAAACTAAAGGGAATTGAAAATAAATTCAGCTTGGAGTATTAACTAATTTTTGAAATTACCGAAAAGAAGCTCCCTGTTTATCTTATATTATCGCAATCTTTTTCTATGAAATAAAACTTATGTACTTTTTAATAATTGCCAGAGTAAAGAACTAAATTATCCGAAATAATTCAAATAATTGAATTTGTAACTAAACTAAAAGTTTGGTTCAGATTCGATTGGTCATATCCAAATTTTTTTGGATTATCCAAAATTTTGGTTTGGTTTAAAGGAATTTTCACCTAGTCTTCAAGTAGTAGATATAGTATTATTATTATATAAAGATTATACATTTTGAGTACATAGGATTAGCTATTTATGCAACAATGTTGTCATATAAAATTATGCACATTTTGAAACTAATTTTCTTTAGATGACATTAAAAGTGTATTTTTTTATGTTTAACTCTTTATATTTAAGAAAATTATTTTTTTAATTGCTAACTTCAAAACTTAACAATAGATCTCTCCTTCGGGAATGTTTGGTATACTCAAAAATTCCGAAAAATAGCCAACAGGTTTATCATACATAAAAGTTATTGGCATTTGGTATTGCTTAATTAGTTTCAAAGTTTACCCATATTTTTTTCTTTTTTTTTGAACATGAAGAAATTATGAGGGAGGGAGAATTTTTTCAAGTGGTTGATGGAAGTCAAACTCCCAATCAACTCAACCCAAGCATTAAAGCTTGAAAACGAACCACCATATTTGAAGACGAAGCATTATACTTGAAGGTCTGATTCCAAAGTTTATTGGTATATATAGATACTTTGGTTCTTGAGGAAAAATTAATTAAGTCTTAATTTGGATTTTTTTTTTTCTTGATCAAAACTATGA